GGGACATTGTGACAATGATAAGTAGAAGGACCAGTTAAAAATACAATTTATGCTGTGCATAGAAGTTAGAACAGTCACTGAACTAGTGGACATTAAACAAAGGCCACCAGAACATAAAAAATTCAAGGACAAAGAAAACAGAAAGAGTTCAGTATTTTCCCCCCTCTTGTTTTTGCAAATATATCTCCTTTAAGCCCCTAGGAGAACATGGCATGTCATCAACTTCATTTTTGTCTCATGAGAATTTTGTAACAGTTTACAAATGAGAGTGTCTGTTTGGAAAACACATAACGAGCTTAAAAAAAAAAACCTCCAGTGCTAATAAAAACCATGAGATGCTCCCTCTAATTTTCCTTTCTGCGCTATGATAGACACATCATATTCATACATAAAAGCATCTGCAGTGGTCCGTTCAATCAGATAAATGTAATTGTTATATATAATTCACAACAATTGGATCCTTGCTAATTTTATCTTACACATACAAGGAATCCTTAATTTTGACCTGTTCTTTTTAATGACCATTTGAAGTTACGACAGACCTCCCAAAGGCTACATGGCCATCTAAAAGTACTGATGCTAGGTACACTGTCATAAGGTGCATAGTGATCAAAATTAATAAAAACTGTTTTAGATTTTCAGTTTACTACAAACATTGGAGAGCTGTATTGAAAAAACCTGGGATCAAATGGATCAAAAGATGTTTCTGAAAGATTTGCTTTAATAAACGTATCTATTATTAAATAGGTTTAGATTAATTCCAGAGAAGTATGTAGATCTTCTGGTTTTCAAGTAATGACATTAGGAAGCAATCCATTTGGAGTATAGGAGTTAAGGCAGAAAGAACAATATTTTCCCAATCACGACACAATCTTGTCAAAACCATTTTTGATTTTGAATAGCCACAGATGGACATTGATTGTTACAGAAATACAAAACGCATTGAATATCTCAGTGTATATGAACTTTAGCATGGTACAAAAATGCAGATGCTTCCAAGTTAGAGCAAGCTGTACTTTTTACTTCATTTCAAAACCATTTAAAATTAAATGAAGAGAAAAACTGACCCCTACGCACAAAGACTGTGATTCTGTGCTGTTATTGTTATTGGAATATTTTAAAGATATTACTCTGTAACAACAATTTAGTAAATGCAAGTCTGCAGTGTGAGCAGTTTTGATAAACAACCTCTGTGGGCCACACAACAGTGATAATGTATCCTTAAGTACTGCCAACGAGCTGCCATTCTGCACAGCCAATTACTTCTGTGCGTCTGTCACTCAAAGGAAAAATGACTGAACCCATTAGATCAAACCTTTGTCACTGTTCCTAATGCACTCTTAGGCCTCATTAATCTGAGGGAGCAGCAACACAGCCGCCGGTGCCTCATTGCCTCCTTCACAACAGGACCATGTGAAGCCTCTCATCTCTCCCCCAAGTGCACCACGTTAATCAAGCTCTGCTTATTACCCCAGTCCCTGTCACGATGGAGAGCACTCTCTCTTAAATGCTCTCATTATGGCCCATCTTTAGAGCTGGCTGAGTGGAAAAAAAGAGAACAAGAACAGAAGAGGAAAATGCAAGTCCGATCGCATTAATATTCATAACAATAATTAGTATTCTAGGTCACTGAATATTCATGCTATTAGTTTGGGTTTTATGGGTTTGCTGGATGTCCTGATTGCTGGAGTGTGGAGAAAAACAGCATGGCAGGAATGCTAGATATCAATGGTAGTTCACTATTGAAAATAGGTTTGTGAGCACCCCTCCCATTTGGAAGAGGAGGCCAAACCAGTGTTGTAAACATTCCTGATGCCTTTAGTATTTGAAAAATCACTAGAGAGGTGGAGAAGTGAAAATGCTTGATTTTCCAGAAAAGGTTTTACAACAGATTGGTTGCTATTACAAAATACGAGAGCCTAACATAATAACTTCAGAAGACTAGGACAAATAACTAATCTTGGATACAGGGAAAATCTAGAAATGAGATACACAAACCAAACTATAATAGAAAGAAGAGAGTGGATTGATCCAAGATCATTGCTGGCACTAGTGGTGGACTATCTCAATGTTCAGGACAGTTATACATGCCTTGTTTGAAATTGTGACGTTCACTAAACATAAAGAGTATATACTGTCAGGCTCTAAATCTTAGACATATTTAAGTTATCATTATAGATATATCTTGGGCCTCATAATGTATTATTTTATAAGCTTAGGAATTTTAGTGGACTTCCTATCTTACCGGGTTGTTGTGTTCTGTTTATGCCTCACCCAGAGCATCCAGAAGATAAAAACAATTTTAAAAAATAGTGATAGAAAGCAGTGAGAATTGTAGCAGGAGCATTTGCAGCAAGCAAATATTTCATCATAACAGTGGTATGTGCATTATGATAAGCAACACAGGCCCTGTCCCTTACATTTTGCCAGCAACATAATACACAAATATAAAAGGTACAAAGTCTGTAGCATTTTTTGCCATTTGAACCCTCTGTCCTCTTTGGAAACCATAACTTTGATTACCTAGTAAGCTGTGGTTTCCAGAGAGGATAGCTGTTATTATAAGCCAAGCCAAATCAAGGTAGCCCTAAAATCTAAATATTATACATAAATATTATTTTTTAAAAATTATATTTTTAGTTTTATAATTTTAAAGAATTTATATTCTTCAAAAACCGATTTCATACTAAAAAGCTGTTTCTTGACATAAACCAGCAAGTATAATCACCCTACTTTATCTTTTTTGGGATTAAATTTAAATTTGTTAGCTCATTGATGATGTATTATGGCCCTCCAGCACTTATTTCGAACTGTTAAAGATTTTCTTGTCTTCAATGAAAATACAAATTGAGCATAACAGCACTGTGAAGCATCAGCAATTTTTAATGCAGTTTCTTGTAGATGTTAAATAGTACTCTGTGTGTAGATTTGGGTTCTCCCAGGTAATGAAAACTAGCCAGACTATCACTGCAATACTAGAAAGTAAATGTATTACGTCTTTAAATAGCTATATATTCTTTACCTTCCAAATAGAGTTTGATAACGTTTAGGGTATCACTTCAGCTCTATAGAAGTATTACGTAAGATTATGCATGAAAAAAAGCACTTGTATTGGTAATACATTTCTGTCATACTTCCAATGGTAATTTTAAAGAATAGTAGATAGTACTCTAACACAAATAAAGTACTTTCTTTTTTCAAATCTTTCCAAATGATCTGTTCAATCTGGATCTATATTCCAGTTTTTATGTTAGGTCAAAATCTGTACCATATGTAAAAATTGAAATTAGCAGGCAAGAAGGATAGAAATAATCCACATTCGAATATTTTCATATAGTGTGGTTTTAATTTTGTTCCTTCTACTGGGTATAATTACTTGAAAAACTTTCAGGAAAGGTTACTTGAACATTTGGCTATGAATGCACAAAATAAACTCAAATTTCTGGATCCATACACTATCTTGAACCATAAACTAACCATACAGATGGGGCTCACTAAAATATGGATATGGCTGAGTATGCTTCAGTGTGTCATGTGAATTAGGAGAGGGTCACATGACTTCTCACTTCAACATCAGAAGGTGTAATTTAAAACTCTCCTGATCAAGCATGACGTACTTCAGCCAAACATTTGTTTCTCAGTTCTTGTGATAGGTTGTATACCTTGCACTAGACATATTTCCTCCAGATAGCCTAAAACAAGGTCCCCAGAAATCAAATCCATTGCACTGATACTATTTCCATAGGCAATTGTTCATCTCCTGTATTTTCTTCTGCTCTGCAGTCTCGGATGAAAATAAACAGAGGAGGATACTACCTGAGCTTCCTTCTTAGAGCTTCCAAGTTCAAGATGATTCTTACAGACTTGAAGACTTGCAATCTTGAAGTTAACCACACTACACAATGCCTTCTTTATGGTATTATCTAATTTCTCATACACACTTCTGACATCTGGGAGGAACCTATTATTATATGTTTTAACCATCTACTGAAAACCAATAATCTCTTAGGCATGCTACAGATGAATGTTTTTCTTTAGTGTACTTATTTTATATACACTATTTTTAATTCATTGTTGTTTTATTTGTTGTATTTTATCAAATCTATTATTACTGCACTGATTTGTCTAACGTGGACTGATTTACGTTTCTTGAGTTATTCTAGCATCTGAGAAAAGTAATTCTACAAATGACAGATAAATCCTCATTTCAAAAACAAAACATCAGAACAAAAATTGGACCTTCTTGGGCTATGTGGCAGAAGTAAAGAGAAAGGTTAACGAAACATCAAAGTCTACATGACTTCCATTTGACAGAACAGTCATAAATTGGTAATTTACCCAGTAATCATTCTGATGCTCATATTATAATATAAGATGATGATGGTAAAGAAAATCTTAGCATATTTGCACAATGTAAATAAATTTTTGTACTTAAGTTCCAGTTCCCACTAATAAAGCAATACCTGTGCCTGGAGTATATCATTTACACTTGAAGCTGACATTCACATGATAGGGCTCTTTAGTCCCTTCTTTCACATGGCATTTTATTCAAGTTTCTTCCTACCATTATTTATTTTTTGTTGTTGATTTTTCCAAAAAGCCTTCAAACATTCCAGGAGTGGCTTAAAACCAAACGTAATGCTTGTGTATTTAAAAATAAATGCTAATGAATTAAATGGAATTTACTTCTACATAGAAGTTTTACAGTGCAACCCTAAGTGTCCCCATTCAGAAATAAGTCAATGAGACAAACACCTGGTAAGTGGTAATAAAACCTGTTTAAAGAATAAGTGAAAAAGCAATATGTACATCTAGGTTACACACAAGAAAATGTTAAACAGATGGCATCACACTGTTTTTACTTTTATCAAAGAGCATGACTGTTTTCAGATAAAAATACCTAAAACATAAATATATTAAATATAATTACTGTGTTTTTAAATTAAAAGGCAACATAAACAAACATTGTGATCATATTTTTCAAACTATATTTCTCTTACCTGGATTTGGTGAAATATGTAAACCGCTCATCTCTTTGGACAAGCCATTTGTTCTTTGATTAGAGATAGGTGCACAGACTGATGTGGCACGAGGTGGCCTCTTCCCTGGCACTTTAACTGTGGTCCTCAGAAGATCAATTTCTTTTCCATGAACATTTTGCATATAGTCCTGCACCAAAAGACAAGAAATATATTTCCCCCAGAGAAAATGAAAATAATGCAAAAAAAAAAAAGGGCTAAAAGAAATCATGTGGTTAATTTGATTTTCCTGGGGTTACTAGGGGCTTATGTTTCTTAAAACATATTTTTCTTAATCTTTAGGAAGTTTCCTAAAGTAGATCAGAATATAAAATTGCAGGGTGGAGGGCAGTGTTAAACAGTAATAGCATAAAACTCTCAGTGGGAAGCTGTTAGATTCTATATATATATATATATATATAAAGCAATATACATTTTGGTATTACAGCTGCAGATAGGCAAAGCAGAAGCCATGGTATAGAGGTTAAAACATGTTCCAATTACAGAATGGCTAGTATCAAAGGAATGGAAAGAGGATTCCACATGTGTACTCCAGCTGCTTCAGAAATTTGACATCAAGAAGATTGTGCTGGCATATGCAGTTGAAGGTAAGAACAGATTTGAACTACTCAACATCATAGAAAGACAACCAGATGAGCTATGGAGGAAATAAAAATAACTGTCACTGAAGTAACCCAAAAATGTATTTCATACAAGATACCAAAGAAATTGGCCAGTTGGATATCAGAAGCTACAATAAAGACAGCAGAAGAGAAAAGGAAAACAAAAGCTATTGCTGGCAGGGAAGAAATGCAAAGATAAATGCAAAGTTTCAGAGAGAGACAAGAAAAGATAAAGAAAAGTACTTCACTGAACAATGTAAGAAAATGGAGGAAGCAGCCATGAGAGGTCATACAAGAGATTGTTTTACTTATGTGAAGAAGGCCAGAAACTTCTATATGGCAAGTAAGGCTATGATCAGATGACATAACGAGCAGGAATTGTATGACCAACAAGCAATCAGAGAAAAAGCAAAGGAATATCAAAATGATCTCTACATGTGCTTCATTGACTACACAAAAGTCTTGGATTGTGTTGACCATGACAAGTTCTAGAACTGCCTCAAAGAACTGGGAATATCACCACATCACATCCAGCTCATTCAGTCATTTACTCTGATCGGACAGCCACTTTAAGAATGGAATATGGAGATGCAAAATGGTTCAGAATTGAAAAAGACACTCAACAAGGTTGGATCCTGACATCTCTACTATTCAACATGTACAAAGAAATAATTATGAGAATGCACATTTGGAGGAATGTTCCAATGGGGTTAAAGTCAGTGGTAGGAATATCAACAGCATCTAATATGATGATACAACATTACTCACAGAAAGCAATGAGGATCTGGAGAGATTAATCCTAAGAGTCAAAGATGAAAGTGAAAAATCTGTATCTTAACATCAAGAAAACAAAGATAATGACAACTGCAGAGAACACACAGGTCAGAGAGCAGATTGACAATGAGACCATTGAAAGAGTAAAGAATTAATCTTACTGGGCTCTGAACTCGACCAAAGTGGTGATTGCAGACTCAAGATCAGAAGGCATATAGCACTTGGAAGAACTGCAATGTCTGGCATGAGTAACATCTGGAAGAGTAAAGACATCAGCCTCACAATCAAATGCAGATTAATCAAAGCAATAATTTTTCCAATTGCTACTTATTGTTGTGAAATGTGAATTCTGAAAAAGTCAGAGCCCTGCGACTGCCGGGCTAGCCCTCCAAGCAGAGCCTGGAAGCCAGCAGGGCATGTATGGGAGAAGCTGTTGTGGGCCAACAGTGGCCAGCAGAGCTGGCAGCAGATTTGACAGTGAGGAGGTTGGGGAGGAACATGGGCCAGTCCTGGAGTCTGGGGAAGGCACTGACAAATGTTCTATATCGGAGTCAGAGATGGAGCCAGGGCCATCTGACGGTTATCAGCTGCCTTCGGAGTCAGACATCAATGAAGCAGAAGTACAGCTGGAGCCTGTTCCCAGTGTGTGCATGCGCAGAGTTGCCAGAAGGAGGGAACAGCTGAGGAAGAAGGGCTGACTTGGGGGTAAAGCCACAGGTGGACTGTGAATGGCCCCTCCCCTAGAGAGTAAAAGAGGAGTGAAAGGGGAGTGGGGCTCTGCAGGAAACAATTAGCTCATTCCAGCATGCTTGCCAAGTATTGCGGTGTCTGACAGGTATTGGCTTGACCACGCTCCAAGCCTGATAAAGGTTTGTAATTGGGAACTATCTTGAAAGACTGTTGGCCCGGACTTTGTTGGAGAGGATATTCATTGTAAATCAAATAAAAGAGGCTTATTGAGACGAGGACTCGGCTTTGTGCTGTTGGGGAAGCCTAGGTCAGAACAGAAGCATGGTGAGGCATGTAGCTTTGCCATGTAGGGAATGATGGGGCTTTTCATCCCTCACCTCAAGGAGAAGGAGAAAGAGGAAAAGGGAGAGTGGTTGCTCGAGAGCTGCTTTTTTGCTGGCTGCTTCCCGGGCGTGGAAGGGTGGGTCTGTTTTTTGCAGATTTGTCCCGACTGTCCCATCCCCTTTGAACCTAGCCTCCCTCCTCAGACGGAGATGGAGGACTAGACTGGAGTAGAGGAGAAAGAGCGGGGGGGAGAAGCTGTGCAGCTATGGATGAGGGACTTGCCCACCTCTCCACGAGACCTCTCAGGAGACACAGCATTCAACTGTAAAAGCCACTCCTTCCAAGTCAGCACCAGCGCCTGGGCTCTGGCAGTAGGGCCACTTCATCTCCCTGGGAGTGTCTTGTCTCCTTGATGGCCCTTCACATCCCCCCATACAGTTCCCAGGGAGGGAGGGGGAACAGATGGAAAGGGCACCCAGACTCATAGTGCTTTGTTTTGATTCAGGCTTTGCTGGGAACAGTGGTGGATATTCCACATGCCGTGTTTGGGTTGCTTTTGCAAAAGCATGGAAGCCCTCCAGGTAGCGTTGGGCTCATTTATTTTGGGAAGCGACAGCTATTCCATTGTCTCAAGATGGGGGGGGGGGAGGGGGAAATGACAAAAATCAGTAAACTGGAGCAGTGTCTCTTTAAGATCCCATGAATGTATGGAGCAATTTGATTGTGATTCACCAGGTATTTGTGTGGTAACGCAGAGAGCCTCAGGGAGAGTTTATAGTGGCATGCCTTGGATCTATCCCTGAATTTGCCAAGATAGAAATGCATTTGGATAGAAGGTCATTTGTAAAACCGACAAATGATCTCTTAATAGCCATAGAAGATGGGGGAATCCCTGCAGGGTAAAAATCAAGAGCTGCTTTGCTGACAGGCGGATGCAAAGGGAGACTTCTGCCTTGTGTAGATCCGGGGTGGGGGAGATTGTTCCTTCCAGATGATAGCCAATGCCTTTGGAAAAGGAGATCAGGTTTAAAGGGGGGGAAACAGCCTTGAGGGTAAGACCCCCCCCAAGCAGTAGTTAGAGGAAAAGGAGTGGGTGGGTGGGTGACTGGGTGGGTGGGAGAGGCACGTGATCTGGTCCGTCAGATGCACCATGCTGCCACCTGTACTGTTGCAGCTGCAGGCAAGCAACGACGGATGGAGTGAATGGGTGGCTGTGTGGCATGTCTGGCAGGCCAGATCGCATGCCTCCCCACTCCCCGCGCCTCCACTTGTTATTGGTGCCGTTCCCATGAGTGAATGCACTTGGCCACCGTCCAACTTCGTCCTCCAACTCTACGCAAACTTCGCAAACAAAGTTAGATGGTGGGAAGGATCATGTGCCTCCCTCCCTGTACCTCTGCCTCCACCTGCTGCTTGGAGAGACTTACGTGTGCTGCACGGGCTGCACAGCCCCAGAATGTGCTGGCCAAGGGGACGGCGGGCTGCAGCTGCTTCTGGATACCGTCAACCCCTGTGCTTGCACTTGCTGCCTCTTGTGTTAACCATGTCCCCCAGAGGGATGATGCTCTTAACTGGGGCTTATTTGGGGGGGGTAGGGCTTATATTGCAAGCAGCATGAATAATCATGCTAGGACTTATTTTCTGGCTGGGTCTTATTTTGGGGGAAACACGGTACTTTGGCCATGTCATGTCAGCTGACTCACTGAAAAAGTTAACCATGCTGAGAATGATCAGTGGAAAAAGGAGAAGGAGTCACCTTAGCACCTGCTGGCTGGACATGGGATGACACTGAGAAGACCATGGCGGATCTGAAGGAGGATGTTCGAGACAGAAGGACATGGAGAGTGCTGATCCATAGAGAGGCCAAGGTCGCTTATGACTGAATGGCTGACAATGACGACTTCAGCAGCTTCTAGCAAATATGCATAATAATTTTCAAATGACTGACAAATATATTGCAGATATATTAAGAAGATAATGTGTGTGTTTCCTTGAAGAGATAAATCAGGGTGAAGAAAATTAATCAATTTACACTTCATTGTCTAAATTTTAAGCAAGATTAAATACTGATAAATTTGTGATTCTGGATGACCAATTTTCTGGAAGTGATTGTACTCAAATTTAAGTCCGAAGAGTTGTAGTTCAGAGATTCTTTGAGAGTGTTATAGCCTTCAATTTTAGAATAGAATATCTAGTCTAAAAACATCTAAATAAGCACCAGTTATCATATTGTGGTTATCTGTACTTTTGCAACCCAAATTCAATAAACCCATTCTGAAGGAGACCTTCTCAATTGAACATTCATTTATGAAATACACTCCCTAGAGAAGACTGCCTGATTAAGCTTTATATGCACCTGCCATCATTATTGTTTTATTGGGTTTTAATTGTACTGGTAACTTATATTTTAAAATATATTTATATTTAAATTAAGTCTATATAAAAATACTTATGCTCATCAAACAATCTGGTGTAAGTGTGGGTGAAAAGATCAAAGAGCTGCATTTTCCTGGAGCAAAATCTTAACACTCTCTCATCTTAGATTTTATAATTTGCAGAAGTAAAAATGTATAGCATAAAAAAGCTTAGCTGCTTCAGAGAATGGTAATTTACAATATGACCATATTAGAAATAGTTGAAGATTACCCTATCATCTGGAATATGCAGTGCTACAGAGAAACAGAAAGCCTGATTTTTGATATGCAAATATTACAAAGAGAATATCCCTAGATATTAGCTG